CAAGACGGCCAGTTAACGATAAATGGCGATGAAAAATGATTATTCTGATGATCATACTAAAGTCATTTAAGGTCATCCTATTATAAGCTCAATGCTAGTGACCTTTATATATATATATATTTTTTTTAACTTTACGATAGCCTGTATTATTTTATACTGCATTAATATTATAACGAATAATCATAATTATTGTTATCGTCGAAATTCTTTTAACAATAAACAATATTAATAGTACACAATTTTGCAAAACTTATAATGGAACTAAATCGAAATGTATACATGTGCGTACGACCGACATTAATCGTTTAGTTAATTTTAATTATGTTTTTTTTTCAAGTACAAAGAAATAAATATATCGTCAAGTCAGTTGCAAATTTAACCGAATGCAAACACAAATAGTTGTTAAAAAAACTGATAAATGTAATATACTCAATCCAAGACCTGCAGAACGTATTGTCGTTTATTTATGTACAACTAAAAAGTATGATGACTAATAATGTTGTCTACTTAAAATATAAAATTTGTTTCTACACATAGATGGGTCAACACATCAGTTTACCCGGGAGTTACTTGGCGCTATCTGTGAACACGTTTCAAAACAAACCTTGATGTCAAATGAATTGTATTCTTTAAAATCTACGGCGCTCTTCTGTATTGCCAGACTTTCAAGAAATATAATATAATATCTGCGGTGTTTGTTTAGAACGGATTTTCGAAAAATTTAGGACAATTTAAATAATAAATTAGGATTTATTCTAACATGAAAAGGATTTTCATCAAAATCCCCCCAAAAAAAATAATAAGTAATTATTTTTCTTAAGAAATCTAAACGAGTCAAGTACAAAATCATAAAAGTACTTGAGACACCATTTGTTTTACTTTAATATTCCAACCAAAGTTAACAATAAGTAAGAAAAAAAAAGGGAGGAGGGTGTTTTGATATTTTCATGGTTTTGCCAAGATACATAACATCTACAGTGAGTTACCTAAAGAATATCCTACATAAGTCTGGAACTAATTTTATTATTTTATAAAAAATTAAGTCAAAGTGAAATAATTATAGGTTGAAAAATATACGAATTTTCAGGGTGTTTTTGTCGACTTTGACGAAAACATTAACGGCTTGTGTTGCTTAATTAATAAATTTAAATAACATGGTAATATGATTCCTACACGTAACAATTTAGATGATATAATTTACAACACTGTGCTATTCGCCACACTTGTGACATTTCAATGATCGATGACGATCATTACTGGTATATTTTATGTGGGAAGAAAACATATGTTTGTAGGTACCTTAACAAATCAACAATAAATGACACAGTCTTTACCGACTGCTACAACTTGGGATAAAATATATATAAATACCGTCAGATTACACATATATAATAAGCGTGTTGGACAGATATAAACTCTAAAAACCGCGTGTAAAGAATATGAAAATATTATATTAAATGCAATACAAACATAGAATATCACTACCGTCCTCTGTCATGCACATTTCATAACATCAAATAACGGCGGACATAATAATATATCGATATTGTTGCTATTGCAACGGTTATTAGGTCAAGATTAGAGCTTTTCTGAAATATATATATATATATGTATAATGTGAATAAATTTACAAAAAAAAACGTTCACACAAAGTCATTGAAAAACGTCCTACGCACAACAGTGCCAATTATGTGTATTGTAATATTATGATCTGATACAATAATGTATACCTAATAAGAATATTAATAAGGTAAAATACAGTTAAATACAGTTATTTGTATCGCAAGGACAATACGAAGAAGCGCCAGCCCGAGTTGCTGTGTTCCAAAAATGTATATTAATAATTCATATTGTTTAAATATGTCAATAATATCATCGGCCAAAAGACGGATCTACCTATATTATCTACAATAATCGATTGAAAATATAGTTTTAGTGAATACTTCATAAGTTATGTTTGGTATACAAATCGTTGTGTCAATATAGAATTATAAATATTAATCGAATTGTTCAAAATTAACCTTACGTAGGTTTATCTGAACAAGTAATATACGATATTAAGTCAATATAATGTTAACAAGTGGTCGGAGATCAAGGCGCATATAACTGATCGCTTTGATTACAACAACTAATAGACAAGAATAATGATGAATTGTACAAAAAAAAAAAAGTGTAAATATAATATAATTAAAAATGTAACGAACGATAATTGATTAAATGACCCAATTGTTATAGGTAAGTGTACAAAGAGATTGACTAAACTGTTGGTGAACTCAACCGGCAATCTGATTACTAATGTAATGTAGAGGTCGTATACCGTACAATGTCTACAACAGCTAGAAACTTAGATAATATAAGGTATCAACAATTCCGAAGAAAAGGTTATTGCCGTGGAATTTTTTTTATGAAATCAACATGTAAAAAGTATTATAACATATTATTTTGTTGATGTTATGATAATATTATTTTACATAATATCAAGTATTGGCAACGAAGTATTATGAAAAGGTTTTTTTTAAACATAAAATAATATACAATTATTGCTGTGTGGATATAAAGCCGACAATTAGAATCGTTGGTGTTTACATTCGAATGTAGTGTGTTTGAAATGTGCTCTTCCACATAACTGTCTATCATAACCATTATCTTGTCACTGCACCGTTTTATGTACCGAAACATTTTATACATAAAACTAATACTAAACAAGCATAAGTTTATCAAATGGCAATGTGACATAAACTCCAAAATAATGGTATTTTGAACACATTGTGTGTCGGATAATATATTATGCAAATTGTCACATTCGGTGAACACCTAGTTGTACTTAACACAATGTTTATTGTACGCGGGCGGTGTACAAGTATGCGAACGTGGGAGTGACAAAAAAAAACAAGGGGGCCCGGCCGCGACCCCCCCGAAAGTGACTGGATGTTATTTTTTAGCTTCAATGTTTTCTTATACTGAACTTGTGACTAATAAGACGATGACGAAAAACCCAACCCGCGCCCAGGCAGTTAGCCAAATAGTAACATAATATCAATTAATTAGTATTAATATATTATTATATTCCGAGTGACTTTGTTACTTAAGAAAATGTATTTAATTAATTTTATCCGACCACGCGAAATTATAAATGGTAAATATTATTATTTATAGAAATTTTAATAATTTTAAGAGACATTTAACGTGATTTAGTGTGTTATTTGAATTTTTTGGGGTTTTTTCGACAAATAAATAAGCATACAAATAATTATATTATTATTAATAATTCATATTACATTTTTTTAAATTATATTATTTGTATAACTATGTATATTATACAACTATTTAAATAACTACTCTATATATATTTTTTAAATATATTTGTTAAAGCCTCACCGACCTTTCAAAGTTAAATGGTAACATACAATAGTACTTTTTAAATAAAAAATTATTTTGACAGGTAGATTTGGAAATATTGTAAAATACATAACAATAATATGTACAGAAAGAATAGCAAAACTAATAAATTGCAATTATTTATCAAAATTAACGAGGCTTAAATTGATCAGCCTGTACATGTGGTAAAGATATAAAATCTACTTGAACCCTAAACCATAAAAATTATAGACTTCTTGCTGTATATGTGACAAAAAAATTACCTATTGTGTCTGTAATCGGGTTTTAAGGTTGTATTTTTTAACTTCATTCCTCAATATAAAAGTTTGACAAGAAATTTTCGCAAAAAAATTGTTTATGGCTAAACCAGATCTATATCTAGTCTAAATTTCAGACTTTGAGTAGAAAAACTTAAAAAATTAAAATGAAAGGAAGGGGGTGAACTTATTCGACTTTCGGGTTTTTTAAATATAAAGTATAACCTTTCAGTTATCACGACAGTGTAACGTTACCCGTGTAAATACTTAACGTGTAAGGAATGATATTATGTGTTGTCATGCCGGGGGCTAAACGAGGGGTAGAAAAAAATGCTATCTCCGGTATTTGGGTTGGGATTTTTTCCTCTTTGGAAAATATCGAAAACATCAAAACGTACACCGACAACGCACGTCGACACATACATACATAAATATTTCATTGGGCTGTCGTTTAAAAATGCTAAAACCAGTTCCGGTGTTTGTCAAACGCGAGACGACAAAAAACCTAACCTTTGCTATTGGGCCGGTCATGCCGTGTTCTAGATTTATATCTCTAATAATAATGTATAATTCTTCTCGTGTCTCTCATCAACAGTGAAGATGGCGAAGTACCACGCAGCAGCACAGTGTAGAAAGATTTTTTCAAAGAATTCGCTGTACACGTGCAAAGGAAAAAAACTTCAGCGCAGGACGTCGCAACAGACTTTACACACTTGACAACAGCCGAGTAAATTTATTGTTTACATTCTTGAAATGACAACAGTTTATATTTTATTATTATTATTATTAACGTTAGATAGTCGCTTGCGCGCGTTCCAACCGAGTGGCTATAACAACGTATTTTGTACCATAGCGGTATTTTGAACGCAGCCTTTTAACTGATCAACATTGGGATGTAAAAGAGTGGATTTTTATGACATTGGTAATTAGATACTGGAACCTAGTAACCTAGTATACCGACGGTGTATCTTAACAAGCCTACACACGTGATTTGGGCGGTGCAACCCAAACGGCTCCCATCCATTGTTTGTTTTTTTCCAAACTGCTCCCGTTGAAAAAGGTTTCACGAGTAGGTAAATTCCCAAACGGCTCCGGTATTCGGTACTATGCGTATATTATCAAGTCTCATTAACTTTTCAAAAAAACTTAAACTTAAATTTAAACCTGTAACCTCCTCCTAGACTGTAGCCTACAAGGATATTTTTAGTTAAAAACGGAACCGTTTGGGAATTTACCTGTTTGTAAAACGGGAGCCGTTCGGGAATTTCGGGAGCCGAATGGGCTACGTCCGATTTGGGCTGGGATCGGGCTAAGCACAAAGCTCAACCCCAGAAGCTTGGACTTATTTTGCCAACGGTTGCTTACCTCGGTTTCGCGTACTTGAACCGGCCTGGAACTTGCAAAAGAAGTCCGGTCGGATGTTGTAGGCGGCCAAGAACTGTTGACACAGCGAGGTGACGTCCCGGCTGATAAGAACCGCAGTGGGTCTAGTGGTGGTGGTGGCGGTGGTGGTCTTGGCCGGTGCTGGCACGGCCGCTGCTGCTGCTGCTGTAGTTGTCGCCGGTGCATTGCGGCGGTCGTCTTCGTACGTTTGGTCGGCTAACAGCGTGGACTCGAACCCTTTGGCGGCGGCACACGGTGACATCTGTGGGAAATTGGCATGCTCAAAGGGATTGCATTTTTTAAGTTTAAGAAAACAAAATTTTACATATATATATATACAATCAATACAACGTCGGACGGACGTCGTTGAAACGCGCTAAACCGACCGCGCGCGGCTGTGCACCGGTTGTGTGGCGTGGGCGAGCACTGTAAAAATACAATAATATCATGACTTAACCGGACAAAAACGTTTGTACGGCTATATGGTGGGTAAGGGCTAATAGGTTACACCCATCCTTATAGTAATAATCAAATGTATACGTACATCATATTGTGCACGCGGACCGACGACGACGGATTGTACGCACTGTCGAGTTCGCGCTATTTTTTATATTTTAACGCGTATACGTTTTTTTTTTAAAAATTAATTTTAATAACAGGCCACGGCGTATACGGATTGGAAAATACAAAAACAAAAAACCGGTACGGCCAGAGTCACGACTACTCGATGGACACACCAGATTTCACCTGGGCCGTGGCTCGTGCTAGACTATGGCCGACCCGATGATGACTTTTGATTCGGTATCGGCCAAAGCGAATTATTATATTATTATGCTCAACGACTCTCGGCCCAAGTGGTGTTTTTTTTAGTGATTCTCACGGGTCGCACCCAAAGTATTTAAGAAAAAAAAACACACACACACACAAATTTGAGTCCAGCTATATAAATTACAACAGCTACACACAAACGCGGTCCGACGCTTTGAAACACACACACACACACGACTCTTGAAATCAGCTTATAATCCCTTGTCGAGTAGCCCAGACCTCTAAGTAGGCGTTTGTGTATATAACAAGTATAATATATCATTATTATTATTATTATCACAGTTGATTTACTGCACGGAAGCCGTGACTCACGCGATAAACGCAGTAACAAGTATCAACGATTCTCGCTGTATAGTTATCGTATAAACTTATTTATTAGTATTATTACCTTATTTATTTATTTATATTTTATTAATACAACACCATCATATTAGTACAACGTTAGTAGACTAGTTTATGGACGACATATTATACTTTTGCCGTGGTAAATATTCATTCAATCGCACTTTGGCACATGCTAAACATATTTTGGTCCAATTACTTTTGCTGTCTATAACGGTTCGTTTTACAACAACAGTTTACCATACCAAAAAAAGAAATGTACACATTTTTGGTTTCAAATCCAAGCAACTATGTAACACGGTTGCAGCAATCGCAAAGCGGTTCTGTATGGTAGCAATTAACAATGTTGGATTTCTTCTCGTTAAGTTTCTCCCAAAGTTCATTAGAGCCGTGTACGCTTTGCATACGCCAATATAGACAGAGAGAGAGAAGAGCGTTTACTATAGAAGTCTCTGGAGTACAATAGTGCTAACATCAAGAATCAAGATAGATTAAAATTATTTAAAAGCAACGGTAATATCTAAAGCCATTAGTATGATTCGTCGCGTCACATTAAAATGGCAAGTCAAGTCGATAAGTTTTCATTTTATTCGAATGCCTCGTTTGTTTGTTTTAATATTCAATTAAATTATCCGGTTTATTATCGGGTTTTAATGCATAATATTCATTGAAAATACATTCTGCGCGGACAATGCGCATTATAAACATTATACTATTTAAGCGCCTTTTCTTTGAACATTCCTCTACGGTTGGGTTTCACGCTGAGACGACATAATGGATAAATACAAAGCTGTACGAATCACAACGTTCAAAGTAAATCGATTTGACATCTCACATTATAGGTGTACGGTCCGTACAGAGAAACAACTGTGCAGCGTTGACGGGTGTGGGCACTTATTATCCAATTCAAGACTGCCATTGTTTGTATATTATGTAAAACTGATAATCACATCCCGGATCTGATGTAGTTTTTTTGAATTTACAACTTTTCATATATTGTATTTTCTTAAAATAATACATTGAAGATCTTTAAGCCCAAGATTTTTCAGCCAGATATTTTGCCTAAGTCAATAATATACTTATAGATTTGTTTAGAGTGCGAGTGAAATGTGTAAATAATTATATTGAAAAACAATTGAATAATTTCCATAGATCAATAATAATGTAGTGGGATTTAAAAATTTGTTCGACTAGAGTTGACTTTTCATAAAATACATGATAAGTGTCCAACGATAAATAGCGGGTGTCAAAAACCAGTCTGGTTGTCTACCCTTCGTACCTACCTACTGTGCATGTAATCCCATCAAAATAACATATTGCTGCTTATAACCGTGCGCGGTCAATTGTAACCCTCTCTGTGCATCCGTCAAAAGAATTACCTAGTTATTATTCGAGTAGAAAAATATAAATACAAAAATATGTAAATTCGTGCGCTAAGAAAATGAAAAAAAAATTATCCATTCCATTATTAATCAAAAAACACGGTTTACTCAATTCAGTCAGGCAACTTAAATAACTGTTTGATTCGATTACTTTGGACTTGTCACTATATGCAAAATATGCACCAATGTATATGACGAGAAGACAGCAGACACTATAGTGAGGTTTAAAATGTATAATATGGTTATCGCGGTCGCTCTCCAAGTCTGACGACCAACGACAGCGACCAATTTACAAGAACAATAGTGCCAGTGTCTCTAATCCTATCGATCGCAGTCATCACACAATGTGTCTTGAAAGAAAGAAAAAAACACAGGGAAAAAAACCAATAATATAATATACACAATCAGATCCATTGTTGTTTGGCCTGCTAATGGTGTCCCCGAGACGACGAGCAGTGGACAAAAGCGATAGCGGTTATTATATTTTCGGTCCAATTAAAATATATACCTACTTTAAAAAAAACATAACTCCTTCCCTTGTGTGTTTGAACATTTTCACTGGCCGATAACCAGTTTTGGATAATTAGTTTCAACGGTATTTAAGTTTAAAATTTTAGCAAGGGCAAGAGAGTAGAGATGTTCGTTTATCCGTATACTCTATACTCAAACGAACCCCTCCTAACTTTTAAACTTTAATACATTTGTAAATTAATTATCCAAATCCGGTTGTCGACCAGTCAAAATGTTCAGCAAATCATTCATAATTTAAAAAGTTAATCAGCTGAACTTCGTCGGGTTCTAACACATAGGGGTTTTATTTTTTAAAAATATATTAATTTAGTCCCAACTACACTAATAAGTAATAACTATAAAAGTATAAAAAAAAAGTCTAACATCTTCTAAGTTATTGACATGTATTTTTACCTCTAAATGTAAATAAAAGCGGTGACATCGAAACGTTTCCATAATCAATCCGAACAAAATAAAAAAAATATTATTAGTCGTTTGTTAACAGTCATTCGGCACGCCGGTCGGTTCTTTATTAGAAAATATACCACTCTAAAAAGAAAAAAATCCTCAGACGCCGCTGTCGACATTATTAATGATGACAATACCAATTATTAGTATTATTATTCATTCAACAACAATAATGATATATCAAAACGACTGGCACAGCAGAGCCGGCTTATAAATTATTATCAAATCGTTCCTTATCAGCATCACACATCTTAAACGATAGGCTATGCCAGTGTTATAAGACGTTCCCGTCGCTTTTTGTTCAAACAAACGATGGGAAAGCGGTTTGGACGCTCGAAAATCTTAAACAACCCAAATGTTTCTTGTTCGGTAAACAAAACACATTGCGTTTAGGGACTTTTTTTAAAATGGCAGGACTTTCCAGGGGGGAGGGGGAATAGAGGAAAGGGGGATAGGGAAACGACACTGTTTGTGAATAATAATTGTAAAACACCTCTCAGAAACGGCCACTCAAACCTGATCACATTGGCATTGTCATAATTATTATACATGTTGGACAGTTGAAGCTTTAAAAGGAATAACGAAAGTGCGTTGTATGTGGACACGCGCATCGACTGGTTAATAGTGGAAAAACTTCTCGTTTTACAGATATATTTTGTTCTTCCCGGTTTAAAGAGAAAGTTTAAAATTGTATAACAGGATGTGTAAATTTAATCGTGTCTACTGTATTAGGTAGTATGTTCATTTGGGCTTGGCATTTTTTTTGTAATTTTCCTAGGAAAATTATTCTCAATTGTGGTTGACAAATCATTGCGGTTAACCCGTGTATCCGTCAATTGTGAATAATAATATATAAATTATAATTCAGTTAATTGCCTAACAAGAGATCGATTAATAATTTCCCGATATAAAAAAAAACCCCAATAAGAAGGGGCTGGGTTCAGATTAGGTTAGGTTACATCCCCTTCACCATCGCCCTTAGCGGTCAAGTTTATACATTTTTGGCTTGGCACATTTTTCAATCCTTGCGTTTTAAAACGTATTTAAAACTAAATGCGGTTTGTAGAGTTGTATTTAAATAAAAAAAAATATTGAAAAGTCATTGATGAGAAAGCCCAATGAATTTGAAACAATTTTTTTGGAATTTTATCTTTTTTTTTCAACATCCTTTTATCCTCTCTAAAAATCTTCCTTTTGAAGTTACCTGTTAATCAAATCGAGTAAGCCGTCGGTCTGCAGTTTGCACGTGGTCTGGCCATGGCGCGGTGGCGGTTAACTTGCTATACAAGCAAACTCCCAAGTCGGACTTGACGGCGGCACAGCTGATCGAGCGCGCACTTCGGCCGGAGCACGTTTTGTAAGTAAACACACTAAACTTACCGCACGCGCACCGGTGCGGTCCAGCGGTGCTTGTAAGCAAACCGGTTTCGAATAAGATGTGCCCATGACGCCATCTGTGCCTTTTCAACGGACAAGATGATAAATAAAAAAATGTATATAATCTCCGTTGTCGTTGTTGTGCGCGCAGTCGGTGTTATATATATATATTATATTGTCATAAACGGCAGAGGACTTGGAGTGTACGGTAAACGCGAACCGGAGATAAAACGACGATACGGATCTCCGCGACCATGGTGGATCCTCGATCAATTGTGTGGGTTCACGAGTGCAGCATATGTCCACAACACCCGTGCGAAACTCAAGCAATAACAAAAAACCGGTACGGCAAGCAATACCACGGTTAATATTATATATATGACTATTAATGGATCTCAGACTCCATGTAGGGCTAAGGATTTTTTTTTTCATACGGGTATATATAATATTTACTATATATTTGTTTTTTTTTTTAAGGTTCTCCGAGACTACCTCAACAGCAAAAAATGTGACCACCGCTATTATTATTAGGCTGTACATATACGGCAGTCTGTTGATTGCATGCGGCCTTTTTTTTTTTGAGTTTTAGATCGAAAAGCCAGACAAAATTTCTACTACCTAAGATGGTCCGATGGTTTCAATTCTGTAAAAATATCGGCTTCCCGCCTAACATAGTTGAGTAGCCAAAGAACTCGAATCTCTTAACATAATTGAAATTGGACCATCCTACGTAGTCGTCATTTTGTCTGGATTTTTGGTCTAAAAAAAACCTAACTAATATTTTTTATATCAACTTTTTAAACTTAACCGTGTTGATACGACTCGATAAAATAATTGTATATACTATATTTGTATTGTCATTGAAAAAAGGCTTTGAAAGAATCACCTACACACGATCAAATATTATAAAAATGAATTATCGTTTTCGATAACATCGTCTGCGGTGAAGTCTCTGTTGGGTTGGCAAAAACCGGATAGAATATACACAGAACTCATCACCAATGTTAAGGGGCTACTACACCTGCGTTGTTTTGGTCGAAAACAGCTCATTTTACTTTAAACGTGCCGTCCCTAAGAATATTCGGATTTAAGTTTTGAAAATAAAATTTGAATTCTTCATGACATTTGCAAGGCATCGACCGTGCGGCATTATCTTAGAATTATTTTTTTTAAATTAATTATTTCGGTTTAAAAAAGTTTAAAATGTCAGTTTTTTACATTGAAATAATTAATTAACTGAAAATAATATTAAAATTATGCCACGACCGATGCTTTGAAAATTTCACGAAGAATTCAATTGTTTTTTCAAAACTTAAATCTGAGTATGTTTAAGTAAGTTCTGTTCCTAGTTGAAACATATTATGTTTTTGTACAAAAATAGACACTGTATGCGTTCTAAAAGCGGAAATAAAAAATATCAAATATCAAAATAGATCCCACTTTCCTTTGCTAATATAATATATGTTTGCACATTTTAGTTTAATGTCAAGTTTTAGTGAAAAATTGCCTATACAATGCGCCTGTGATTACAGTTTACAACGTTATGCCACAAAGAAATAATTGTGAAAACAATTTACCAAGTGACCTTGGATCATTTCTGTGACTTTCATTATTCATATATCACAAGAACCGTAATGATTAGAAATTGCACTATTGCCATATTGTCAAGTGTTAGTTACCAACAAGTGTTAATAATGTGAAACGCGATTTTGGACCAAAAACCAAAACAAATCTAATTAAAAAAAATTGTACTTAATCCTAACGGATTTAAATACTATTATATAGGTGTATCATGTAGTTTGTACTAGATTGATTACATTATACAGCAGAATGTCGTTTTTTCGTTATTATCTTATATTACCTTTATATCTTCAAGTTTTTGTTGCACACACAGAACAGACACAGATACATTATCATTAGTATGGCATAATAAAAAATAAACCAACAATGCAATTAGCTAGAAATTGTACGAATGTTTTATAAAATCAAGAAAATAACAGGTAAATTTCAATTAAAAAATAAATACACCTTTTCGGGTTGACGTCGAATCTTAAATAATGATAAATAAATGCGTCTTACTATTTTTGTATAATATATATAATATATATTTTATACGTACAAGAATGATGTATAATTAATTAATACTTTTGAAAATAGTAGTTTATGTAGAAGAGTATGTTTTCACTGGTATCAACTGGCATCAATGCCTATTGTACAAATTATTATACATTATATATTATTATTATACTATATTACCGTTACAAACGATATCGGAACAGCCTTAGATGCAATTTTAAGATTGTAATTAAGATTTTCCGACAAGATACATAGCGCATAATTACAAACCTATGGTCTGTGATTTTGGGTGTTGGTTTTGATTTGTAACACACCGCTTAGTTTCGGAACGCCCAATATTTTTTATTTGGTTTTAATTACATTGTACGGCAATTTCCGTTGTTTATTTTATACTTCCTCTGATTCTGAGCTACGGTTGTGTTCAGACCCCATACAACATCTTGATAGGGTTTGACTGATGATTAATCGCTTTGGAATATTCACAGAACAATATTCAACGTACAACCTGAGCAACTCAAGTATTTCAATACAACAATTTGGCGTGCGCCGTACTCGGTGTGTGTATGCAATACATCATACATCATTTAAAAAATATTCCCATGCATAGATACGGCACGGGGATTATTGATAAAAAATAACATTTAGAAGTAAAAAAGTTAAATGCAAAATCAGACTTTATGAGATGTGAATATAAAGCAGCATTTGTGAATTTACTTTTTTTTTTTTTAATGGAAATAAAAAACAATAAATGTGTTTTATTTTTAATGTGTTATACATTGAAATTTTTTTTATAGTATTCAATTGAATTAAAACCAAATAACCTCCTTGCTTAAATTGTCAAAAACACGTTGATAGTTAAAAAACATGATACTGTAAAATATAGACAAAAATCTTCATACAAAACTTGGTACCTTCTTTTGAACTGGGTCACTTACTATATCATACAGCACAACAATCTACAGGGTGATCCATCTGGCGTAAGACATTCATTCTCTAAGAAAATATGGTTATTTTGAAAATGATTTTTTCCCCAAAATTGTAGCTACATATTCGACTATATTTATCAATATGTTGAATAATTTTACCTTTATCCCTTACACGTAAAACAAGTATAAATCTAGTTTTTTTTTTAATGGCAACATATGTTTTATTTCCATTAATACGTGGACACACATTTTTAAACTAATGTTAGTGTTTGAATTATTAATTTTCATCAATCTGTTCGTTTGCTATGACTTTGCAAATATCTTACAATTCACATTATAATTTATTATCGTATGTCTTTTCCAAATTCCAGTAGCCCACAAAATTCATATTTATATTTGCATTGTCCAATAGGCCAGAACATCAATAACCAAAGTCTAAACACAATAAAATATTTTAATATAATGACAGACAAGCGGACCTTATCATAAATATTATTATTTATTGGGAAACTGTTGTGCTGATTGATCTTAAATGCAGATCTTCACATTATCATATCAAACAAAGAGATTGATAGCAATTAAAAATTCAAACCCTAACAATTATTAAAACTTTTTGTCTACGTATTTATGAAGTTAAAAACATAATATGTTCCCGTTTGAAAAAACCAAGTCCAAACTATTATTTTAATTATAAAGTGTTGAAGGTGAACATTTTCCAAGTATAGTAAAATCTATAGGTAAATCTATAAGTATAGGAAAAATATAATTTTCAAAATATTCATATTTTCCGAACATATTGGTGTCTTACGTCAGATGGATCACTCTGTATTTCTATTTCTAAAATATCGATTACCCGCTTAACTGGATGGGATAATAAGATATTAAAACATAAAAACATAGATATAGTACCATTGAATGTATATATTTTCAGTAAAATCGCTTTAACTTTAATTAACGATCAAATCCTATATCAGCAGATACTTTTTTGTTATAGTTGTGTGGCAAATGAAAGAAAATATTATAACGAGTAAATTATTAGTAGATATGCTTACGACAGCCCTGCAGCGTAACCGTGTTCAAGATGGTAAAACATATCCAATGATAAATGAAACACTGTTGTGATAGAAAAAATTATAGAGGTCGATAAATGATGCAATTTTTTTTTGAACTACGAGTGATGTACATTCAAATTAATCGTTTTTTTTTTTTTTAAGAAATCAACAACGTTTGTACCTAATTCATCTAACATAGTAATAAATATAATCGGTGTCGTCCACCGGCGGTAGCCCGTGGCTGTATGAATGTAATTGATGTTGAAATAATTACATTTCTTATGGTTTTTTTTTCTTCATTAAAGTGTAATAATATAATGCCGACCGTCGTTGAAATGCGAATCCTGTAAAATTCTGCGAATTACCTAGTTTGGCCACGTTTAAGCGCGAAACGGTATGTCGTCAATATCGTTTCTTTCATTTCATATTGTGTAAACGGGTGAAACTCTGCAATGTCTTATAAGAAGTCATATTGATAACCGTCGACGCATATTGATTTGTGTTTCGAAAACGCGCGCTCGTGTAGTATTTTGAAAATTTGAAAAAAAATAAAACTAGAAATTGAGAAGTATAATATTGTAAGACGACATGTTGAAGTGTAGCTTGTGCCATCTTCGCGCAGAGACCTAGATGATGATGTCCGCAGTACTTGGAAAACCAGTAACACGTTTTCTTTACATATCTTACTAAACACCGTACCTACCTAGTCGATGTCAAATTACAGTTAAGCATTACAAATCGTGTACTAAATATTATAATATATTCCACATAACGATGCATAGAAGAGCGGGTAGGTAATAATAAAAAAAAAAAACAGTTATAACAAACCGTCCCGCATACATAACATGTTTAAAAAAAATTCTCCGGCGCTTAAATAATTTACATTTATGAAAAAATTTGGAAAAAAATACATTTATATAATTATATTTTTATTTTAAACTGGCTATTAAATATTGTCCGCTATTAGCAAAGCGTACACGTTTTCGGCTGGCTT